TTGCAGCCCATTGTTGCAGGCACTGTGTGAATCCCCCACCTGGTTGGGGGTCTTCCTTGTTTTCACTGGCCCTCTGCTTTACTAAGGATGCTGTCTGCTTCCCTAAACCGATAACTATGTTCTTAGGTAAACTGTGGCTCAGTTAGACCCTTCAACGTTCTATTTTACTCATACGTTTCCATGCAAATAAATTCAGGACCGGGTCACCATAACTCATAGAGCGGATTTCATCACGTCACGAACCAGCCCATATCTAATGATCTCCCTGCCATGGATGTTTGTCTCAAAGCACACGAAGCTTAGAATATTCTTGTGCAGATGCTGAGCTGAAGAAGTATATGTGTAAATTCTGAAGTAAAGGACTTCCCTGGGACCCCAATCCCATCATTGTCAACGGGGTGTGCTTGCTGGGCAAATGGGCAGTGTGGGACTTTTACCTCCTGTGGGTATGTCGCCTGCACTAGGCCCAGGCTCTCAGTGTGTCCTGCTGTGCCTTCCTCCAGGAGAAAGACAGTGTGTGGGACTCTGGACTACTTGCCCCCAGAGATGATCAAGGGGCGCATGTACGACGAGAGAGTGGATCTGTGGTGCATCGGGGTGCTGTGCTATGAGCTGCTGGTGGGCAGTCCTCCTTTTGAGAGCCCCACCCCCGCCGAGACCTACGAGCGCATCCTCAAGGTGCGATGGCAACCTGTGGGCACCCAGGGGCATGCAGCTGGTCCGGACTGTTAGACCTAAGGTGTCGGGGGGTCACATGAAGCTTACCTAGTAACATCCAGCATAGTCCTTTGAAACGATGTAAGCAACAGGGAGAAGCTCAACCAAAGAAATTAACTGGACTCCTCTTTCTTCTCTCCTTGGCCTCCTGAGGTGGACATGCGTTTCCCCCCATGCATTCCTGCTGGGGCCCAGGACCTGATCTCCAAGTTGCTCAGACATAACCCCTTGGAGCGAATGACCCCGGCCCAGATTCTGAAGCACCCTTGGGTCCAGGCCCACTCCCGGAGGGTGTTGCCTCCCACAACTCATATGGTTTCTTGAGCCGGGTCGGCCCTGTTTCTTGGTTTGAACGGCTACCTGGCTCTGCTACATCACCTGTCTTTTGTGTTTTATGCTGTAAGATAATAATTAATAAAAGTGGACTCATTTTGCACCAGATTTTGTATTGCTGTGTGAGTTGGTGTGTTTGGGGGTAGGCCCTTTCCTCGACTCTCTCATTTTAAAAAAATCATTTTATTAGGGGTCATACAACTCTTATCACAATCCATGCATACATCAAT